TGATGCGGTTAGGGAATCCTGTATAGAGAGTGCACCACGCTTCAAGGAAAGCGAGCCATACTCCGTCGACTGATTGTCCGTAATTGTGACCCTGAGAGTCCAAAAATATGGCCGAACTGAAACGAGTTGCAGTGTCGACAGTATGCAGTATTGCTTTTCCTTCAATGAACATCAGATCGATTGATATTTCTTCGCCGAACTTAACGTCTTGTAGTGTGGGTAACGTGGTTTTGAATCTTGTTGGTTGTGATCCAAGCCGTTGACAGGTATGGCATGACTTAGAAATCTCTTTCAAGACTCTTGTGGTGGCTTCCGTGGCCTCGTGCGGTCGGCTTTTCTGATGAGATTCAAGAGTTTCGCATCTGTTGGATGTCGAAAACCTCTATGAAGCTTGACCAGTTCACTTCTTGAGAATAGTACTGCGTCTATCTCTTTCCATTCCAGGTACACGTGTCCAAACTTCCCCACGACCGGTATAGAAACGTTTCCGGGGGAGCTGATCAGTGCATTTCTTGTCGTATCCAGGTATAGGTGTAGTTTGTCGAGCCAATCTAATCCTAAGAGGAAAGGGACATTTGCTTTTACAACGTCAACATCCATTGGCACAAATCCATCTTTGAGAAGTGGTAGCCGAATTGAGATGGATCCTATCGACTTCTGCACGTCAACTCCGAATCTGTACTGGTTAAAGTTCCTTTTTGGTTTGAACTTACACCCGACAAATCTGCAATATGCCTTGGCCTGACTAAGTCCAATAACAGTACGTTGGGCTCCAGTGTCAATACAAGCGCCTTGCCATTTTCGTCTCCGGTTCTCGGAGTCGTTTCTTACGTGTGAACTACCTCGGTTGGAGTTTAATATGGAGTGAGTCTTACGATGTTTGGACAATTTTCTGAGACGGCGATTTCTTCGTATGTCATGGGCTGCCATTGACCTACACGAGATTTTGTACCGGGACCGTTTTTTCTTGAGGACAGTCTCGTAGCGTGATTTATTTTCTTTCGACTTCAAACTACGACGGTAAAGTAGACTGCCTCTCCTCAAAAATCCTCCGGATCAAGAACAGATGCTATTCCCCGATTCTCAGAACCTGTGTCGTGGAATGTTTGTCCTCCTGTACCGGCATGTTCATGCGTCTCTTCCTCAGATGAGGCGGAGTCCTCCTGCTTGAGGGTTTCCCCTGTAAGGGCAGCAGAAGGGTTTTCTTCGTCTGTAGAGAACAACGCGTCCTCCACTTGTTGACAGAGTTCAAACAGGATTTGATGGCTTTTCTTCGGATATCTTCTGACTTGCGATGAGATATTTCGCATCACGTTGCGAGGCTGGGGACAGTCCCTGATAAAGTGATTAGGATCCCGAAAATTGTTGCATAGCCTAGGGTTGCCGTAACGGTTCAACCCATTTTGACCGGCTTTCGTGCTATCTTGAGGGGGCCTAAATGGAGCAGATGAGCTTGATCCTGGTTTCTTCGGCCGTCCGTAATATTTCTGACCTTCGTAGTAGAGATCAGGAGTATACTTGGATGTAGATTTCATCTCTTTATGTAGAACAGATTGACCGACGCTCATATCTTTCTTTCTACCTTCTTGTTCTTCCTGGTCTTGAAGCCAGGCGGCGTCTAGTGCCGTATACAATTGTTGGAAGTCCCAAGGATTGGATGTGGACTGAGAGTTCGCTAGCGCTGACTTGGCCCACGGGGCTCCAACTACAGCCTTGTAAAGGTATTCCACCTTGTCTTCTTCGGAACGGTGAGTCCGTGGTCCTTGAGGGGCAAATCGTGTAATGATCTCACGTAACTCTTCCAAAGCTTCTGCCGTACTGAGCTTCTTGGAATGTATCAAAGATTGAATTCTCAGGCTCTGGAGATACTTCCTGATTCTGTTCTGTCTAGTGATGTTGTTGTACTCACCTTGCAGAACTTGGCATGCATCACCAAAATTACCACACCTGTCCCTCACTTTCTCTCAATAGAATCTCTTTGCTTCTCCATCGAATATGTTGTGGAAGAAAGCAAGTTTGTTGGTTTGGTCAAGGTTGTAGTCCTGGGCAGCATCAATGTAGTTGTTGATGTGCTCCGTGAGGTCCTCACCTAGTTTTCCGGTGAATTTGTCTTGATTCTTGAATCGCAAGGCCATGTTGTGTGCGACTCTTGCCTCGGAGTCACGTCTTCCAGGAGTATAACCTTGTACTGTGGGACCGGCTTGACGTTCAATTTCCTTGTTAGTAGGCCTACATGCTCGGCTACTCTTTTTGTGCTGAACAAGTCTTTCGTAGGCAAAATCAATGTCGTCCGTGTCTGAATATAACATTTTCACCAATCCCCACGAGATGCGGTCAGTTGCGGGATGTCTGTTATACTGTACACCTTCTGCCCGTAAGAAGTCACGGATGATTCTGAAAACGAACGTGGTGCCCTTCAGTATTTCGAAGAAGTACAGAGTTTCAACAGGGAGGTCTTCACGTAATTTTCCTACCAATTCGGTGTCTAAATTATTATCAGATCTTTCGCGAGTAATGTGTAGCGTAATAACTGATATGGTGTCATGGTGAATTGTAGATGGAGGTGTATACGATTCGAGGTCCTTGGTGATGGTCTTTATACCTGCTTCATCAATTACGTTTTGCATCTCGTTTGATGAGTTGAAGTCTCAAACCAGTATTTTCGTGAGTTACTTCGGCTTTAGAAAACGTTTCTGCCACCCGAGCGTTATACTTAAAAAATTCAACCTTCTTTTTTGTGATTCACACAAATTCAAGTTGAGTATGTGTACAGGTGTCTAACTATTACAGCGTGAGCAGAATCTCATACGCGTTGCCGTATAGCTAGTGCCAAATCTGTAATACGTGTCGGGTCACAATTGATGTGGTGTGCGAACAATTGAAATTGGTATTTTGAAAATGACTAAAAAAAGTAGAAGAAAAATTGTGGAAGAATTTGATTTTTTTTCACCACAAAATCTCCAAAACAAATTTTTAGTATTTGCGCGTCAATTCGCGCTCCCGTAAAAATGTGACCTGATGGAGATGTTTCGCGCCGATGGTGTGCGCCTGTAAATCGTGATCGGAGGGAAAAGAGCGCTTGCAGGGGCTGGAAGTGTAGTAGTTGTTTTCCCTCTCCAGGCGATTTTCGCGTGCACGGTGGTGCTTACCACCCTTGTGTTGCTGTAGCTGAAAACTACCCGTCAGGGTGACGTTACAGAGGGTGCAATTAAATTTACGCGGAGGTGACTTTTTCTTGGCGACGCGGGTTATAGCCACGCGATGTAGAACTCTGTTGACGCCTTCTGGCAGCACCGGGAGAGGGTTCTTGATCACTGCAGTGCGTGTCTTAATTCTATTAAAACACGCAAGGCGCTTTCCACGTGTTCCTCGGTTGCTGCACGTCGCGTCGAAATTTCTGCACCTTCTCCAAAAATCTTATCCTCCGGCCTGGGTAGGTCCGCGGGGGTCGCTTCGGTCTCGACGAGGTCCAACACGGTGGTGGAGTCCTCCTCGTCGCTTGTCCATACTACCTCAGGCGTGCCGGGTTGAGGGCGCGCGTCGAGTGTCGTTGGGTCTTCTGGTTCGTCGGCGAGGACGTGCGGTTGCCCGAATCTTCTATAGCGTCTTAGTTTTAGTACCACTAGAATAGAACGCAGTTAGTTAACCGTATTTCTATTTCAGTGATAGCGGAAAATAAAGAACTTACTCTTGTATTTTCCGGTGAGAGTTCTCTTCTATTGAAGAATATGGGCTTGACTCCTTTTTTGACAAAACGTGTTGCGTTAATATCAAAATGGAGGCAATGACACCACTCTCGAGAACCAAATTTCCAGTTTTGTGTAGATCTTGAGCTGCTGAGTTGAGTTTTTTTTCTGAGAAACTAATTATGCTAGTAGTCTAGACTGTCGCAAAATAGAGAAAAAACAGCAAAGTTAACCGGCAGGACCGGGCGAGTTGAGAGGTCGGGTTTTTTTTACTGTGGGTTCTTCTTGTGCTTGTGCGTGTCCGGGTAGCTGTTCTACCCTTCGCCTCTGGGTATTTATACTACTTTATCTTGCCCATCCCGACCCCCTTTGACTCTCGTACGTGCAATCCTCTGCTCATAATCGCAGAGGACTGCATTATCAGTAGACTTTCTGGAAGAGGATGTGCACTGTGTTCGGACTGGTGATGTCTAATTTAATTCTGCCCACATTTTAAGCCGTAATATTGCTCTACGTGCATTAAACGAAATGTGTACGTCACCGCCATCTGGCAGTTTTTTTCACAATTGTCACCCTATGCAGAGGATACCATGGACCAAAGTCACCCTACTAGCAGACCACTTTCTAGTAGTGTCGCCCTATAAAACCCCCAGTACATTGAAATGGCCCCACGTAGATTTCACTTTGGCCGGGTGTCGCCCCCTAATTTGCACTTTAACCCAATTGTAATACTCCCAGGTTACAGTATTGGAGTGGCAGCGTAAATCAATCTATGAACCAAAACGTTGCAGAATTCTGTAATATATTCTGTAATATATCATACTTCTTTCTTTACAGTACCTTTCCAAAATAGTTGCGGAATTCCGCCAGGCGTAATACACCAATTGTGTGCTACCCCAACAGTCCCTGTTAAATACAGTGATTGGGTGTACCCTTCATGCTGTTGGCGGTGCGGCAAATCACTCACCGCCACATGCGCTATTCAAAAAATAAATTTAAATATTTTACAAGCTGAGATTGCATTCTATCTGCGGCGTGGAGACGCGCCACATCCCCTATCTTCAAAGGAGACTCCTTTCTCTACACGGAATGCGCTATTTTGCGTCGACGGACCGATCTTGACTTTCTCGTCTCCACGCCTTGCAGCATTCAATCCTCCGAATTGCTAACGCGTGACAGTGGGATGCTTCCCGCTTTGGAGCGTCCCTAAGCGCGAATAGTCCTCGAGGTACTTTCTGGAGATGAAACTACAGTTCTACTGATTCTCACACATGCCCTTTTTTGCTTTTTTAGGTCTGTCGCTGGAAGCCCGAAATGCCTGCCTCGAACATGACTCTAGATGAACTGCCGTACTTTGCGCAGGGTGCCGTGCTCCCCGAACCTTTGCCAACACGTTCCGCGATCAGGTCATCAGCAGATGTTCTCAGTGATTGGTCTACGCACCGCGTTGTTGGAGTCGGGATCCATTTCATCGTCAAGTATGGGACAGGCGTCGACTTGATGGAAGGACAGAATATGCTGTTCGTGCGCCAGGCGACGACCGTACCGGTGCCACAGGTGTATGCGATGTTCCGCGAGACCGAAAGTGGCGAGAACTATATTGTGATGGAGCGAATCCAGGGTAGAAGCCTTGACCATGAGTGGAGCTTGTTGTGTCAGCGCGAGAAGCACGCGGTTGCGTCCAAGATCAAGAGAGGTTTTGAGGAATTGCGGAAGTTGCCTTCTCCTGGAGGATTTTGCAGTCTTGGGACTAGACCTCTGTCGGATGACATCTTCGGGACGGATAGTGAATCTGCGTCACTGGCAGGACCATTCGCTACCGAGTCTGCGCTCAACGAAGCAATCCTTAGGACGCTGTTGCGTGCGCAGATATCGATCCACAAGATTAATTTTTATAGACGCGCTTTCAGTAACGTTTTCTGCAAGCATCCTCCTACGTACACTCATGGGAATTTTCAGAGGAGCAAGGTTGTGATTCAAAGACCCTGGAACACATCCAATTGTGATGCAGTCAATGCTAAGGGACTTGATATTCATATACATTTTTTGGGTTGGAAACGCGCAGGCTGGTATCCATGCTACTGGGAATATGCGAGGAGCCTTTTTATTGGGGGTGCATGGGACGACGGCTGGAACAACTATATCGACGAGATGATGCAACCATTTCATGTCGAATGGTCTTGGACGGAGAAGGTACTGACAGATCTTTGGGCATGAAGAAACGTTTGTTCTGATACTGCATGATGGAAAGGCGAAGACATGACACCCGTTTCTCTGACCACCGGACCTTGTGCTGGCCATGTATCTGGCATGACGCTTTCACCGTGGACATCGGCAATGTCGTAGGAGCCGACACTGTCCGGGAAACTTATTGCGATCCGCTCCCGGTCGCCAGAGTTCTACTGCTTCAACACGCCGGAGCTTTCCAGCGCTTGGAGTGCCTCCGTTGTCCATTCTTGACAGCGTCGCAATGGATCATTTGGATTGATACGTTTGGGACCGGCAAACTGCTTCTTCGGGGGTGCAATGTTTTTCAGAATGGCGTCGACTTTGCCCATAATTCGCTTTCAGGATAACTCCAGCTCTTTCCTTGCTGACAAAACTCACAGACTTTTCTGGCTGTTTCATCGACTTCGAAACGTACTTCATTCCTTGCTGTATCGTGCCGATCACATGAAACAGCTGCCCAGACCCATCTTCTTTGGATTCAACAAATACCCCTTCGTGATTTCGCGGAGCGCCGATGTACGACACTCGGTAAACAGTGTATGACATTGCGACGCAAAAGCAGCTGTGCAGTCCAAAAAGAACGATTAGTCGAGGGAGAGCTTTTCTTTCAACAATAGGGGCCGACTCCACGAATTCACCGAAAAGAACAAAAAACTTTGTTCACGAGGCGCTCGCCTTCGAAGGACTTCAGAGAACAGGAGGCGTACCGGTGGTTGCGCAAATGTCCTCGCTTCTCATTCATATTGACTGCTAAGTTTGCAACTGCTGTGTCCTGCAACAGAGTATCCCATGTTGTAATCCAATGAGCGCCACGGTGTGTTCACGTGTGTCACCTGCACTGGTCTTCCTGGAGACACGTTTTGTCTTGCAACAAATCAATGACTGCAAGAGAGAAGAGTGTCATAGAAAGCTGTGCATTGTTACAACAGATCTTGTTGCCGTCATTTTGCAATACAGTATCGTGAATGAGATCTGCGATGATAGTTCCGCCAACTAAGTTTCCAAAACCATCCCTGCCGGCAGAAGCCTTGAAGGGCATCCCATCGCATCGACCCCATAACTCAAAAAAATAGTTGGGGGAGATTTCGTCTAGACACTAAGCTGCACACGTCGCATGTCCGAATCCCGCAGAACGTTCAGGAATGAAAACTTCCACGCTCGCCCGAGCCATCCGGAAGCGCTTTTTTGAAGATTCCCCTCGACCCCAAGATGAGTGTCGTGGTGGTCGTCGAGGAGGACGGGCGCGAATCTTGTCTCAAGCAGTGGAACAAAATGAGGAAGGAATGCTCAAGTCATCAATCTTGTCTCAAGCAGCGGAACAAAATGAGGAAGGAATGCTCAAGTCATCATAGTGGTGTCCTACTTGTCGAATCAATTGACTTCACTGGATTCTCCCTCTTGTAAATATTTTGGGCGTTTTGCATTTGCTCTGTTTCACTTTGTTGGGAGGATGATGCCTCATCAATGACATAATCCGAAAGCCAGCACGTGTTATTATAAAGCCCTTCCCTTTCATGGACCTTTACGCATTTCTTTCAACAAAGACTACTATGTTGACAGCGTTTGAGATTCAAGAAGTAGAGATGAAAAAGGGGACAGAGTAGGTGGACAAGCAGCCGCTGGGGAACAAGGCAGTTAAATCTAAAGGCTAAGAGGAAGAACAAAGGTCAGAGCGATGATCTCGAAACAAGCGCTGCCGTCATAGCGTTTTCCATGAAAAGTTTCGAAGAATCCTAGTGTCTAGACGACCGGCAATTTGACCTCATATGAGGCCAGCTTTTTTTTGCAAAAATACATACATTAACGTTGTCCGTAAAATAACGCGTTGTTTTTTCCATTTGCCCACAAACTCGCTGGACGTAAAGTACGAGTGGTAAACCCGAGTTTGAAAAATCCCACCACGAGTTTTGCTGTCTGACCTCCAGCAAGGTACCTGCCTGCAGCAAGCGCACATCTGGTACATCGCTGTGCCGCCCGACGGATCCGCATCATCGCAAAGATGCTTTTGTGCGCAACAAAAGCGACATCCTTGGCACGCTGAAGACGTTTCATCAACATCACAATGGCGGAAACACCTCAACTACCTATTCACGACAACATCTGTGATTCAGATGAGGATGAAACAAGCGGAAGCAACATCTTTACCATGGCCTCTACACTACAAACCGTATCCTCGCAGCACTACGCAGGCGCCCAGGCCGTTTCGCTGTATGGCGCCACACTTGCTGCGCCAGATCAAGGAACCGCTGAACATGATTTCTCCGTAAATACTCTCGCACCGAAAGTCGAACGTCACAGCCCGTGCAGTATGAGACTTGTCTGTGCTGATGAGAGAGCAGAAAGCTCACTCCGTTTTCCTTCGAGACGGGTCGATCATAACCCTAGAACACCCGCTCAATCGCGATTCGCCTGACCAGATATTGTGCGCGACACCGCTATCGAAACAAACAGCTGCAGTTCTTACAATGAAGATCGAGGCGGAACATAGTGCTACATCGAAAAGATTTGTCCTTCCTTCTGTAGGCGGCATGCCCGAAGACAAGTACTATTGTTATATAAGCAGTTCTCCGAGAAACATATCTAACCATGCTGTTTGCGACCAACGATTTGGTAGGATTGTATCCAGAAACGTACTCCAGTCGTTCTCCCAACGACCACATGCAAGCAAGCTCTTGGAAAACTCCCAGTAGCTTGGATACCATCCACTAAATTCCCAGTCAATCAAACTTACGTCGACTGCGTCTGATCCCTTTTCTGTCAGCCGTCTGAGCAATACGTTCTTCCCTTGAAAATCACCGTGCGTGAAGAGTGCGCAGGATTCGTGGACGACGGATGGAAGTGTACGCCTGTAAAAGTCTGCTTTGTACTTGGAGGGCTTGTTGTGCAAGTATAGAGCAATGAGTGCTTCATTGAACGCCGACTCTGTAGCAAACGGTCCTGTTAGTGATGTAGATTCACTATCCGTCCAGAAGATGTCATCCAACAGAGGTCTATTCCCAAGGCTGCAAAATCCACCAGGAGAAGGCAACTTCCGCAATTCCTCAAAATCTCTCTTCAGCTTAGAGGCAATCAGGCGCTTCTCGCGCTGACCCAACAAGCTCCACTCACGATCAAGACGTTTGCCCTTGATTCGCTCCATCACAATAAAGTTCTCGCTGCTTTCTGACTCGTGGAACATCGCATACACACGTGGCACCGATACGCTGGTCGCCTGCTGCACGTACAGCATATTCTGGCCTTCCATCAAGTCCAGGCGTTTTCCATACTTGACAATGAAATGGATCCCGACTCCAACAACCCGGTGTGTAGACTGATCAACGAGAACATCTGCCGATGACCTGATCGCGGAACATGTTGGCAAACTTTCCGGGAGCAGAGCATCATCGGCAAAGTACGGCAGTTCAGCCAGAGTCATGTTTGAGGGGTGCATTTTTGGTGTACATCGACGGGACCGCACAAAATGCGGCCTTGCATGTTTAGTTGGACTCAACTTGATCCAGAGAGCAATGCTGGCCCTCAGTGTTCTCTGTGCAGTACAGTATAGACGTTCCCCATGTAGGAATTATGCACTGTAAGGCGTTCTTCTAGTGTAATCTGGAACCATCAGGAACCCCCCGGGATATGCAAGTAACCTTGCTGTACTGCGCTGGACCTCGCTGTTGTAAACAACTATAATACGCCAGCGCACCCAGTGTGCACTGTCCTTGCTGTAATGAGTACATTTAGTGTACTCACTACCTAACACGTAGTTTTATTGGTACACCCAGTTACTGCAAATAGTCTCACCTACACTATCAAGGTGACCCCAAATCAAACCTGGGTTACACCTATTTACTGTCACTTGCACTTGTCACTTGCACTATTTTCCCCGTGACACTAAAACAGGACAAAACGCACTTAAACAGTAAATAGTGCAACTGACGCTATATCTTTTACTCCAAATATAGGGTCACTACAAATACTGTATTTTGATAAAACATGCCTACTGAAACTCAGCGGTCGCAGCCATCAGAGACAACTGGAGACTTGCGCCCGAAGTATTCTTTGTGCTTCTGAATTATGTTTTGGAGTTGGGGAGTAGGCTGCGTAACTTCCCAACGTCCATTGGTGTAGAGCCATTCCTGTAATTATCATGGCTTTGTGCGCATATGAGGCCTCAGTCCATCTATCTGCTTGTTAACATCCTGCACAGCCAGGGAAGCCAGCCGCCGAAAAACGTTGTTCCGGGGTTCGCAGTACGACCTGATTTACCTCAAAGACCCGCTAAGCGCCAACCGCCGTCGGCGGACTAGTGCTGCGGACTGTTTACAGAGGTCGAGTGACACTAATTACTTTTTGTCCTGATCCGGTACCACACAATTTAGTGTCACCTACCCTATTGGGGTGCTGACACTAATTTTTGCGTGAGAGTATTTGCAGTAACTGGGTGTAGTTTTGTACTTTTGCTGAGATGTACACCGATCACGGCATTTAAACATTGGTCATACAATTAACCTGGATCCGGAATTAACCTGGTTCAGGTTATTTTAGGTTTGAGACGTCCAGAAACTGTAAACTTTTTGAACGCGTAACCCCACTCTATGAGCATGCTAGCGGTAATAAACTTCTATGAAAGCTCTCAAACAAGAGATACGTGGTGCTTCACAATAAAACGATTGAATGCTGCAAATCCTCGAGAAATCGAATACAACTTGACGTGGACTATGTTTTATGTGAATACAACTTCAGAATGACCGCCCATGACCGTCAATCTCCCCTGTGCATTGCCTCAATTCCGCGATTTCGGGTTGTTTTTTCATTTTTGCTTTTTGCTTGTTTATTCATGCAGAAACTAAAAAACTTCATGATTCTTCATGAAGAAACGACTTTAGACAATGGTAGCCACGACTTACACGTTACATCTCCATCATGGAGATGGGCTACAGGGACCCTTGGAAGGCATGGGGATCTCGATTTGGATGGTTGATCGCGATTATCGGTCGGTCACTTGAAGAAGGCCGAAGTGGCGATTTGTTCATCTTGCAGCATTATCTGGCGGTTTTTGCGCGCAATTGCGCGCAAAAACATGATTTAATGAAATCGCGGCCTCAATTACATATTTGCCGACGGCGACCATGCCCAACCTGACATCATCAACCCCCACTATGCCTCACGCAGACCTAATGAACGCGCCCTCGCCAATGCTGTATCCCGGCAGCCTATCACACCATCACCATGTGCTGGTTCTGATCCCACCCCGAACCTCACCGAACAACACGTTTTTGGTGCACCGAGGAAAATCCGACAACAACATGTCGTGTCCACCCTCTCCCAGCGCCGATCCGCTGTCACATGGATGATGGACGATTTGGAAAGCAATAGTCAGCAGGGCTTGTTTGCTAGAACTGTTCGCAACTTTCCACACTTCTTTCCCAGCAAGTACAACGCTAACATATCGAAGGCCAGTGGTTGGTAGCGTAATCGAAGTGCCATTATGGAGCTTTATGACGGGAGAGTGCGTTTAGGTAGTATGACTGAACGGGCAAGACGAGGAAGGAGGCGACACAATGTTAAAGCGCTTTCAGGACGTGGAAGAAAGCATGCAGTCTGGGTAATGGCTTTGCATACAGCTCTGATGACAGAATTTGAACGAGTGAAAGTTGCGAGTGTCAAGACAAATGCCGAAGTCTTGCGTCATATTGCAATCGCCCTCGTGCAAACAGCGGATTCCAACTCGCCCTTTGCGCCCCATATCAAGGTCGACGGCTTTGACATTGCATGCAAATTAACAGCAAGATGGATTCAGGAATTCATGGAATCGCACAACCTCGTAATCCGTCGGCAGACGGGGACGCTCGCCGTGAGTCCAGAAAAGAAGTGTTACATTGAAAATTCTGTAGCATTCAACCTTGGAACGCTGAAGAAGGGGTTTGAATCTGGAGATCTAGACGAAGACCTTATCGAAAACGCTGACGAATCCCATTTTATTTTTAACATGGACAATGGGAGGACGATTGGGATGCGTGGAGATGAGAATGTGAAATATGCATATGTGGTTTCAGGGGATGAGGGCATTACGATGATGGTTAGAATAACGGGCGGGCCCCATGCGCAGATCGAGGCACCGATGCTCGTATTCCAAAATGCAAACTCGTCATACCCAATCCGTGGCGTGCCAGACAAGGTTCCTGGTGTGTCTTATCGGTCGGGACCGAAGGGATGGATGGACAATCGCGTGTTCAAGGAGTGGATGTCAGAACCGAGAGCAATTTCATGCTTACCAAATGGGAAGAAACGCACGCTGTTTGTTGATAATTGCTCGGGACACAACTGGAATTCAGATGTGGATGAATGTCTCCGAGTAATACATACAGAGTTACGAAAGTTGCCACCCAATACCACGGATTTGGTTCAACCTGCGGACTCTTTTATAATTTCTAAGATAAAAGATGCCTGGAGACGAGAGTGGGATAATTACAAGGCTGGGGAGATCACCCGGGGGTCCTAGACGGGCAGTGGGAAGGGTTCGAGCGGGAAGCTCATGAATCCAGGAAAGCATTTTTTCCTGAAGTTGGCTGCAGGGGCGGTTCGCGAAGTAAACCATCAAAGGGACAAAAAGGGCCTCTCGTATGCTAGGAAAGCTATGATAAAGATGGAGATGTCACTTAATCTGAACGGCATATGGGAAGAGGAGCAGCTCTTTACTGAACTGCAAAGCATCATCGCGAAGCATAGAAATCATTTCGATGGCGAACCTGTGAGAAAAGAGACAGTGTATCCATTCTAATTTGGGTATACTTTTTTAACCTGGACCATGTTATATCTTTTAACGACATGTATTAACCTGGATTCGCATTTAACCTGGACCAGGTTATTTTACGTAAGACGCTCTCAAAACGGCCTTCAGAATTAACCTGGACTATGTTAAATGTCGTGATCGGGTGTATAGGTTTTTACCCGAGCTACTGTACTAAGCCACGGTTTCCTGTACCAGCCTAGCTTTTAGAACTCTATAAAAGGTCGAGGTCGTGCGTGCTTAGAGGATTAACCTCACCCGACATCAACGATCAGCGATTATCAACAAGAAGTATTTCCTCAGAACGAACTAGCCGGTCTAGTGTTCACCTCGGACAGGCTGTCCCCCACGCCCATCGGGGGTACCTTTGGACATCGGTGAGTAGGTGTCCCATCCGAGTTTCATATTACAAGGGGTGCTCCCGACGAACGCCTATCAAGTTATTAAGACCAGCTTTACAGCGTAACAGCTGTGAGGCGGGGTTTTGCCACACCCCAGACTCAAAAACCGCGACTTAACTGCAAAGACACTGTAATGACAAAAATCTGCTGTGTTTGCAGAAATTGGTAGTGAAGCAATTGCAGAAGTGTGATTGCGGCTGCAACAAAAACTGATAAATGAGTACGAGTTGCAGACCTCTGATCCTCCTGAGAGCTGCGCAGAGCGGCTACACGAGTCGGAAGTGGCGGAACACGTTGCGGTGCGGATCGCAGGGCGACGTCGCGGCGGAGAGGGTGATCAGCTAGCGGGCCCGCGGTCGGACAGGGTGGGACGGATGCTGGGCAGCGGGCGGCACCCAGCGATCGGGAACGTACGCGGCGAGTACCTACGCGTGACAAATTAGGCGGCGGCTGGCCGGATCCTCGGGAATGTACACCCGCTGCCGGCGGCGGGGGGAAGCCTGCCGTTCCTCGGGGTGCACTTTGCGCGCACGACGGGCTGGGACGTGCTTGTCGGACCAAACGATGAGCTGGCGCTTGCGAGGGACGGGTATGGATAGTGCGAGCTCAGAGCGGGGAACGAGTGGGAAATGGTGCGGAATGCCGCTTTGTGCGGCTGTGTAGGAGGACGGGGGTTTCGGCATGGAGATGGAACGGTGCATGGTTGTTTGGGGTCGCGGTGGTGATGGGGAGGGCAGCAACGTCTGGGCTTGCGGTTGGGGGCATGGGGCGTATTTGATGCAAAACAGAGATTACGAAACTCAAAAATTGCATCACATCTGCAATGATATTGTAATGCAAGAAAATAAAAAATGCAGAAATTAGCGAATGATGGCGAGAAGTTTACGAGAAAATGCTGAGGCTGGGGCTGGAGCCATGTCGGATGACGAGGAAGAGGAGGATAGTTTGGCTATTTGAGCATCTGGGTGTGGATCAGTGAAGCTGCAAGCATACCGGCATAGTTAAGTTAGAACGGGCATACGAGCAATGATTGACGCTCTGCAGCGTTCCGTAGATTGGTTGGGTAAGATCTAGTCTCACAATAAAAGATTGGCTCTTCTCACAAATTGCGTCTATCTTCCCTAATTACAGAAACTGCGCCGCAAACCTATTACGGATTTACACGTGGTTGTGCGCTGGGGAAATTCGGAGGCACGGCGGCGTTGGGATTGACAGGAATTTGGGATCTTTTGGGATAAA